GAATACATTGTCTGAAATAAAAAATATTATACAGAGTCCTAAAAATAGAATGGAAGATCACAAGATTTGCAACATAAAGAGCCAGAAGACACTCCTCTGCAGAAGCAAGAAGGCAAGAGAATCCAGAAAATTGAAGATAATGTAAGAAACCTCTGGGACAACTTCAAGCGAACCAACATCAGAATTATGGGGGTCCCAGAAGATGAGAGAGAGCAAGATATCGAAAACATACTGAAAGAAATAGTGACAGAAAACTTCCCCCACCTGGTGAAAGAATTAGACTTACAAGTCCAGGAAGCGCACAGAACTCCAAACAAAAGGAATTCAAAGAGTACCACACCTAGACAAATCATAATTAAAATTCCAAGAGCAAAAGACAAAGAGAGAATATTAAAAGCAGCAAGAGCAAAGCAGGTAGTTACCTATAAAGGAGCACCTATACGATTGTCAGCTGATTTCTCAACAGAAACCATGCAGGCCAGACGGGAATGGCAAAAAATATTCAAGGTGATGAATAGTAAGAACCTACAGCCAAAGATAATCTACCCAGCAAAGCTATCACTCAGAATCGAAGGCCAGATAAAAAGCTTCACTAATAAAAAAAAAAAAAGCTAAAGAAGTTCATCACCACCAAACCAGAATTATATGAATTGCTGAAGGGGTTTCTTTCAGAAGAGAAAGTAAATAAAGATAAAAAATTATGAACAACAAATACGTAACTATCAACAAGTGAATCTAAAAACCAAGGAAATTTAAAAAAATCTGATGAACAATATTAACTGTTGAATATAATAGAATCAGAGGTATGGAAGGGGAGTGAACTGATGATTCTTGGGGAAAAGGGGAGAGGGGGATGTGGGAAGAGACTGAACATAAACTGTGCACCTATGGATGAGGACAGTGGGGGTGAGGAAAGGGCAGAGGGTGGGGTGGGAACCTGGTGGAGGAGAGCAATGGAGGGGATGAGGGGGAAAGGAACATTTGTAATAATATAAACAATAAAAATTTATTTAAAAAAATAAAAAATAAAAAAAATCAATGTAAGAAATATCCTCTGGTGAGAATTAACCAAAAAGAAAAAAAATATTAAAAATGGAACAAATATCTAAATATAAAACCCAAAACAATAAATTACATAGAAGAAAACATAGGTACTATACTTATGGACCTTGATCTTAGAGAGGATTTTATGAATTGGACCCCAAAGACAAGGGAAGTAAATGCACAAATAAATTAATAAGACTATTCAAACTAAATATCACCCTGCTGCTGCAGCCACTGCCAGCCACCACAACCACCAAGGTGTTTTCATCAACTTGAACTCCAGTCCCTTCACCATGAAAAAATGACAACTTTCTTTAGGCATATTCAAGATGTGTCCTCATTTCTTTTTTTATCCTCACCTAAGGATATGTTTCCATTGATTTTCCCCCTTCCCGCCAATCACAGGCTCAGCCCCTGCCAAAGTCTAAAACCTCCACCTGAGGCTTTAGGCTTGAGCAGGGGGACTGCCCCCCTCCCCCTGACCCTCCAATTGCCAGCTCAGCCTGAGGATTTATGCTTGAGCTGGGGGACCCCTGCACCTCCTATTGCTGGCTCAGAATGACCTGAGTGCCAAGGATGTTCCTGGGACCCAGGTATATATGCAAATTAACTGCCATCTTTGTTGGGTTAATTTGCATACTCACTCTGATTGGTGTGGGTGTAGTGGAGGTATGGTCATTTTACATGTTTGTCTATTATTAGGTAAGATGACACACACAACTTAACAAGTCAAGGAGTTGGATTTACCCCAGGAAGGTGGTAGTGCAGGGAGAGTATGAGAATGCTTGTGCTGAGGACTCTATTCTTGCTCTGGGCCTTTCAGGGAATGTCAGGGTTTGGGTGGGTGGGTGGATGGAAGGGATGGGGCAGTTAAGCCTCTGACACCTGAAGCAATTTCACAGACCCTTGTGATAAAGAAAAGCAAAAATGATTTTATTAATTTGCTCTTGTCTTAAATTGGGTTCCCCAGAGCAGATCTTTAAATGGGGATTCATGTTCAAGTAATCAAGGAAATGATCCAAGGAAAAACTAGTAAGGAAGTTGGAAAACAAGGTAGTAAAGGAGTAAAAACTAAGTAAGCGTATATTTTCCAGGTGAGAGCCCAGCCTCAGTCTAAACTCACCAGAGCTCTGGAACATTCTTTTCACTACAGTTTGTGTCCCCTGGAGGCAAGAAAGCAGCTTTCACACTTATGCCAGGAAGCACTTTAGCTCTTTAAATATTGAGGTAAAGTGGCTCTATACTCACAAGTTACGGATGGGGTTTGCACATACGTATAAGGTGTTAGGAGCAAAGCAGAAGCTAAGGGATGAGAGCCCAGAGCCAGCAAAGTTATCCAAAGGAATTGGGTAGAACATACATATCATCTGCTGCAGGTCCCCTAAAGTTTGAAATGCTGCTATTTTATTGACTTCCTTGCTGAAAAATATTCTGCTCTCTCTCTCTTTGATCCTCTGGTAGTCAATTCTTTAGTAGCTTCTTTTTCCATCTTTATTCAACACTAATCACATATTTTATGCTCAAATAATTAGCTTCATCAGCTACTTTTCTCAAGAAAGTGTCCAGCCGAAACCAGTTTGGTTCAATGGATAGAGCGTCAGCTTGGGGACTGAAGGTTCCCAGGTTCGATTCCGGTCAAGAGCATGTACCTTGGTTGCGAGCATGTCCCCAGTAGGGGGTGTGCAAGAGGCAGCTGATCGATGACTCTCTCATCGATGTTTCTAACTCTCTATCTCTCTCCCTTCCTCTCTGTACAAAATCAATAAAATATATTTTTTTAAAAAAGGTGTTCAATAATTAAGGAAGATATAATCATTATGCTTTTCATGTTAGGTCATGGAACTGTTTGTCAGTCAATAATTTGTTATTAATGAACAATTGATTGTGTTCTATGTTATGAGCCCTTTGTTAAATGGACTGACCACACATTTTGCTGACTTTTTGAAAGGTTCTAAGACTTGCCATCTCTTAGTCACTTATTAAATTTTCATCCTAGATTTATTGAATCTAGTTAGAAAATAATTCAAAATGGAATATTCCCAAGAGTCATAGCCACATTAGCTTGTGGTTAGCAAATCTGATAGATGAAGGGATTCTGTTACCCTTGAGAAATTCTTACAATATCTATCAGTATTATTGGAGGTCATTGTTCTAGTGAAACCATCCCTGACATGGAGATGTGATCTTTCAGGAGAAGCTGTCATCCTGTTCAATTTTAACACACTCTGCATGAGGCTGTAAATGCATGGTTACTTCTCTCCAAAAGTTCATTGCCAAAATAGCACTGGAGTGGCTCTTAAAATAAAGTTCTGGAATTACTGTGTTTTTCAAGGACAGGTCTTTGCCTATTTTGCTTCCTTCCTTTCTATTTTTCTTTCCCCTCACTTTGAACCCAACATTTATTTATTGAGTGCCTATTATGAGCCAGGCACTGTGTAGGAGTACAGTAGGGAACAAAATATACAACGATCTCCCCTAATTGACACTGAAATTAAACATGTGCACAAGGTGATCACAAACCATGGAAACGTTCTACATAGGAAAGTGAAGTGAGGGGTAGAGTGACTGTGATGAGGCAGGTGGGAGGTATCTTTGTAGAGGTCATTTGAGAAGGAGTCAGATCTGTAGTGATCTGGATGTAGAATTTTCCGGGTGGAAGGAATAATGAGTGAAGCACCTAAGCCAGTAACAAGCCTGACGTGATACAGAGAAGGCAGCCAGTGTGGCCAAAAAAAAAGATGAGGGAAGGTAGTTATGTTGTTTAATCTCCACAAATTTTGGGAATTTTCTAGTCATGTTTATGTTATCAATTTCTAATTTAATTCCATTGTGATCTAAAAGCAGACATTGTATAATTTATGTGTTAAGTTTTTTTTTATGATCCAGAATCTTGTAATATTTCATCTTCATTGAGAAGAATGTATATTCTGATGTTCTTAGATATAGGCTGTCAAAGTAAATTATATTTAATTGATTAGTGGTATTGTTGAGTTCACCTATATCCTTATAGGCTTTTTCCACCTGCTGGACCTATCTATTTTTAATAGAGGGGTATTGAAGTCTCCAACTATGGTAATGAATTTATCCTTTTCTCCTTGAAATCTGCCAGTTTTTGCCTTACATAGTTTGATGTTCTATTGTTAGGCTCATACCCATTTGTGGATTATTATGTCTGTATTATTGTTAATGCCTTTCATTATCCCTGATAACATCTTGCTTGGAAATCTGCTTTCTTTGTAATTAATATAACTGCCCGTTTCTTTGGTGTGTGTGTGTGTGTGTGTGTGTGTTTGTGTGTGTGTGTGTATGTATGTGTGTGTGTGTGTGTGTGTGTGTGTGTGTGTGTGTTTACTAATTGTATTTTTAGTATTGTGGATGTTATTATTAGTACAAGTACTAAGCCAAGTTTGAGAGATCATTTGACCTTATTATGTTCTCATTTACATGGTGCTTTATTTTAAAGGTGAGTGTTGACCTCAAAAGAACCTGAGAGTTTTTCTTCTCCAGTTCAAACATGTAAATAGCAGTATTTAATTCAACATTATCCTTCAAATGGGTCTCCCCCATAGAGTGGTCCTTTTCAGAAAGATTGAATCTATTTTGAATTTTTCCTAAGGTACCTCATTATGCATATGAGTTTGGTTGATTTAAATTATATTTATTAGCTTCATCTTTTCTATCCTGATTATTGCCATTCTTCCTTTTCTTCATGAGGACTGTGGCTATTGGAGGCAGGAGGCATAGGCCTTAAGATCTTGAAATGCAAAGAAACCATGCTTGCGTTCTTCAGTCTTGAGATAATTTTCAGCATGTGTTTTCATTCTACTTGATTGAGTATAGTACGTTTATAATGGGTATTTCAATGACACTTCTGTACATTAGGAACACACATACAGAATCTCCTACAAAATCATCCTGATCTGTGCCTGCTTTCTCTTCTCTTCTTGTGTCTCTAGGTAAGTGTGAAATCGGCTGGGCCTACTACTGCACAGGAGCAGGTGCTGCGGCTGCCATCCTCCTGTGCACATGGCTGGCTTGCTTCTCTGGCAAGAAACAGAAGCAGTACCCATACTAAGATGGAGCCACCAAAAAAAAAAAGAGGAGAAGATGGGCTGAAGGGGCTTGGAGGTACTAAAAAAATCCGGCTACTTTCAAAAGGTGGAATAGTGCTTCTAATTAATACAATGCTAGTGAAATAAAATCCAATGGAATCAGAAACATTATATATTGCGGAAGGGTTGTACAAGATTTATAAAAGAAAGAGCACTTAGAAGGATAGGGGTAAAAAATGGACCAAAGGCCAGAAATATTGAGAAGGTATTAGTTGTTTCTATTCCATAGAATATTATTAATGTAAAACATATATGCAGGCTAAACAAACCTATATATGCACACAAGGGTTTTAGATGTTTTTGAAGATAAGGACTCAGATCATTAAAGGGCTAGTAGAAACAATATTGAGAAGTCGGGTAACCTGCAGATGTGCCTGTAGGTCATGGCGCCTCTGAAAGCACACAAGCACATAGAGACATGCACATTCACACATATGCTCATGCACAAACATATAAAATTGTCACAAAGACTGCACAGAGTTTGGGTATGCATTACTCCTCTGTTTTTAATACACATTTAAAATGCTGTATTGTCACTTTATAAAGCATACATTAAACCTAATAAATGAACCAATAAACCACCCTATCAGTATTTTGTATATTCTGCATAAACTTTTTATGCTCTCAATATGTTGTCACTGTTTATGCAGACCTTTACAGTTAATCCTTTGTGTTTCAATATTATTCAAAACATGCTACATTTCTCTGAGTAGCTTCTGCTATGATATACTTATGAAGTAAAGGGGAATATTTCAAACCTTTTTTCAGGCATTAGATCTTGTTTCTTTTGTCTGTTATTATACTGTGCTGTACCACATTTATTTCAATATTCACTTTGTAAAACAAATGCTATTTTGTTTGTATTTGAAAAACCCTGTGAATAAACTCTCTCTTTAATCAATAACTAAATGAGTTGTAGAGTCTTAAGTTCCCTGATTTGCTTCTTTAATCTCATGAATATAGCCTTTTGACTTCAATGGTCCTGTAAATTTTTCTTTTTCTTGTAAGGCCCGAGATTAATTCATGGGATATTAAAGGTGAGTATGAGATAGTTCCTGCTTTCAACTTCAATGCTTTTGCAACCAGAATTCTAACTTCCCATTCATTGCACTTTAATCACGACTAAATTTTTATGAGAGAAGTTTCTTGTTTATTTAAGATTACGTGTGAGAGGGCAGTGAGAGCCAGCTCGTGGTTCCGGAGGTGTCGGGCCGACAGTGTCCTGGACGACATGAGAGTCACCACAAGCTGCCTGTGACCTGCTGCTCCTTTGCTTTCTGCCTGTGCTATATCTCCAGTACTTCTGTGCTCGGGAAGTTTCACACCTCTCTTGCAGGAATCTTGGCCACTTGGGAAAGATTATCTCACACTCCTGATCCCAGCATAAAACCTTGGCTAAAGAGAAAAAATGTGACCCTTTCATGACTCCCTAACAGAACAAGTCCTTCAGGAGCCAAGATTTGCATACTGGATGATGGATAGATTGTTTTACTAGGCAATGCTGAGATATTGCATCAGATCCTTAAAAAACTTCAGTTATAGGTAGCTTCTAAATTATATACTTTCTACATTTGGCTATTTATACATATAACTATATTTTCTGTTCTCTCTATATAATTATCACCTTAACTTAAATAATTGAATATCACTCTTGCTTCTGGTATTTTTAATCATCCAGGGTGAGTATTCATGCTGGCCTGAAAGAACAATGCAAGAATCTGGCCAATAAAATTCTGGGCTTTTTAAGGCTTTGTCACTATGGTAAAAGTCACTCTGTTCTCAAATGCTTAATTCATAATGTGCTAAGTGTAACTTAATTGTATCTTGTCCACTGAGCAGGGGATTCACCACTCTGGGTTTTCTGCGGAGAGGGTAAGATGGCACTTTGCTTCCTCAATTAGACCATCATTTTCCTGTACTGCTGGTGCTTTGCAATTTTTTTTTTCATGGTACTTTTCCTGTCTCAATAGTATTATGACCTCTTAGCTCTCACTATCAAGTTGAAGTCCTCTATGGAATTCGTTAAGGTCTAATTTCTGGAACGGGATTTAATGACAACCTTATCATTTTTATACAGTTTTAATGATTTTTTAAAATTTTATCTTTATTGTTGAAAATGTTTCAGATGTTCCTCCTTCCCCCCATTGACTCCTTCCCCCGACTTCCACCTCCTGCCCAGTCCTCCACACACTATTGTCTGTGTTCATGGGTTATGATATATGTATATAAATTCTTTGATTAATTTCTTCCACCCCTCCCTACTTCCTCTCTGAGATTCGTCAGTCTGTTCCACGCTTCTATGTCTCTGCATTTATTTTGTTTGTCGGTTTATTTTGTTCATTATATTCCACATATAAGTGAGATCATGTGATATTTATCTTTCTCTGACTGGCTTATTTCACTTAGCATAACTAACTGGAGAGTAGTTTTTATAATTTTAGAATTTAGTGAACTTCACTAGATTAAAAAGTTGATTGCTTTGACATGATTACATGTTTATAAAAAGATAAACCTTTATATCTTAAAATCTGACTCATATATTGTGGGGGGTTTTTAGACCAAGCAAAGAATATTTATTCAGAGATTTTATAGCAAGAGTGTCATCCGTCATCACTTGTTTGGAAGAGACACAAATACAGGCAGAGACTGGTAAATATTTATAGTGGGGGAAAAGAGAATGCTTCAGATATGCCCTGATTGGAAGTTTGTTGAATTGAGGAAGCTATAAGCAGGCTAACTGGTGTGTCCTATGTGATTGACTAGAAAAGGATATTTGGCTTTCTCTTGTTATTACTAAATTGAAAATGTAGACAAAAACTAAAAAAACTGACAAATATTAACCAAATCTTGATTGATTTGGGCCAATTACTCTAAGATTCTTGTTTACTTTCCTGTGTTGGTTACTACAGACAATAGGTTGGTTCCCTAAACAGGTTGTGGCTTAGTTTTATGTTTATACTAGAGGCCTGGTGCAGGAAATTCATGCACTCGGGGGGGGGGGGGGAAGGCGCCCTCTCTCACTCTGGGAGCCCTCAGGGGATATCTGACTGACGACTTAGGCCTGCTCCCCATCAGTCAGACATCCTTAGCACTGCCACAGAAGCGGGAGAGGCTCACCAACACTGCCGTGCTCCCCAGCCATGAGTCCGGCTTCTGACTGAGCAACGCGCCCCTGTGGGAGCGCACTGACCACCAGAGGACAGCTTCTGCATTGAGCATCTGCCCCCTTGTGATCAGTGCATGTCATAGCAACCAGTCATTCTGTGTTCAGTCAATTAGCATATTATCCTTTCATTATCCTATCTATTAAAAGAGTAATATCCAGATTGACTCACTCCAACACACAAGATGGCTGTCCCCGTGTGGTCAAAGATCCTGCCCCCATGTGGATACAAGATGGCCACCACAAAAGGGCCAGCAGGGGAGGGCAGTTGGGAGGAACCAGGCCTACAAGGGAGGGCAGTTGGGAGCAATCAAACCTGCAGGGGAGGGCAGTTAGGGGTGACCAGGCTAGCAGAGGAGAGAAGTTGGAGGTGATCAAGCCTGAAGGAAAGAGCAGTTGGGAGAGACCCAGACCTGCAGGGGAGGGCAGTTAGGGGTGACCAGGCCTGCAGGGGAGGGCAGTTAAGGGCAAGCAGGCTGGCAGGGGAGCGGTTAAGCATTAATCAGGCTTGCATGGGAGTGGTTAGGGGGTGATCAGGCTGGCAGGCAAAGCAGTTAGGGGCAATCAGAAAGGCAGGCAGGTGAGCAGTTGGGAGCCAGCAATCCTGGATTATGAGATTGATGTCCTACTGCCCATTTAGGCCTGATTCTACTGGGTCATGCTTGGAAGTTGGGGGATCCCTCAGGCCGGCTTGCACCCTCTCAATCCAGGACCCCTCGGGACTGCTGGCTCTTAACTACTCACCTGCCTGCTGGCCTGATCCCCCTAATTGCTCTCTCCTGTCTGCCTGATTGCCTCTGTGACCATGGCTTTGTCAGGAAGGACATCGGGAAGGTCGTCTGGAAGATGTTCAGTCTAATTAGCATATTACCCTTTTATTAGTATAGAAGAGACTTTAAATGCAACAAAAAGTGCAACAGGTGAACCTTCTTTGGACTCTGATTTGAACAAACCAACTACAAAGAAATACATTTCATATCAATTGGGAAATTTTTAATATAGACTGGTTATTAACTATGCTTAAAATTATTGTTAAATCTCTTTCAGATTTTATGATGAAATGGTGGTTATGTTTGAGGAGAAAACTCATTAATTAGCTGTTAAATTTACTGTAAAATACTCATGCAAAAGAAAGAGAATAATAAAGAAACTATTATGAGGAATGGATAAGTGAAACAATATAAAAAACATGACTATAAGTGCTGAATCTGAGTGATGACTTTATGTGATTTATTTTATTTGAAAATTTTCATAGTAACAATCTTATAAGAAAATGGAATATTCTTATCAAATTATATTTTAAAAATCCAGCCCCATACTGCTTTATAAGAATCAAATCTATAAGAAATATCACCTCATACCTGTCAGAATGGCTATCATCAATAAATCAACAACCAACAAATATTGGTAAGGATGTGGAGAAAAGAGAGTCCTCAGGCACTGTTGGTGGGAATGCAGATTGGTGCAGTCACTTTAAAAAACAGTATGGAGTTTCCTTTAAAAATTAAAAATGGAAGTGCCTTATCACCCAGAGATTACACCTCTGGGAATAAATACAAAGAAAACCAAAACACTGATTCAGAAGAATTCTGTATATGCACCTCTGTGTTCATTGCAACATTACAATAGCCAAGATTTGGAAGCAGCCCAAGTGTGCATCAGTAGGTGAGGGGATAAAAAAGCTCTGGCATATTTACAAATACACCACAGCCTTAAAAAATAGGAAATTTCCCTTTTGTAACAACATATATACACCCAGAAAGGATTATGCTAAGTTAGATAAGCCACTCTGAGAAAGAT